CAGGTTAACAATATGATAAAGAAATACCATGAACACCAGTCTCTTTATCACTTCAACTTTGCTCGCTTCAGCTACCATTAAAGGGGAATTTGGCAACTATTTCAACTTAATAAACCTGTTTAGAAATCATTTGGATGGTTAAATGGCCTGTTCCGGTGTTAATGGCGACTTTCCCCGCTCCCCCTTGCGCCCCCAGGCGGAAAACCAAGCTTGCAACTTTGGGACTACCGTCCCGTTAAGTTGGAAATAGGAAGTATCGTGAGAAGCGAGAACGAGCGAGAAACACAAACTGCTTTACGACAGTTCCACATAAACTGACACGCCCCCCTCAATACCATTTAGCCACGCCAGCTATAAGAACAAGCAACAATGAATGTATTACCCACCTCAGTAGACATTGCTCCACACAAAAAAGTTGCCCGGCAACAAATGCACATCAGCAGCGGTAGAAAGGGGGAGGAGGGTGTCACAAGTGAGTTTTTTTTACGACAGTGTTTTGAAATATACGTCCCAGAGCTGTAGGGGGAGCTTGTTGAGAATCCAGTGAGGTGAAGGTCGGAGGTCACTCGTAGTTGTGTATGACTGTCCTCCTTCTTGGTCCTTGTGGGTCTTCAGATGGGCGTAGAGGCCGATCCTGGACCTGATTATTCTTGTGCAGTGTGGGCAGGTGAAAGTAGTGGTGGGTTTGGGCTGGGCCTGTTTGGTGGATGCTCTCTCCTTTCTGAGTCTGTGTTCTGCAGCATGGTGGAGCTCTTCATTATATAGTACAGCACCCTCATGGACAACGTTTCTCTATATCGCCCTATTCTTTGTCATGTCCTCCCAAGTCTTAAGGTCTATGTGGAACTTTTTGATGTTTGTTTTGATGTTGTCCTCATACCTCTTCTTTTGGCCTCCTGGGGCAAGTTTTCCTTCAGCAAGCTGGGAGTAGAGGACTTGTTTTGGAAGGCGAAAGTCAGGCATACGGACAACGTGACCGGTCCATCTGAGCTGGTGTTGAGCGATGGTGGCAGTGATGGTGCCAGCCTCCTCCAGGACGCTGGTGTTGGTGCGTCTATCCTCCCGACTGATCCTGACGATTTTCCGGAGGCATCTCTGGTGATACGCCTCTAGCGCCTTTAAGTGCCTACTGTATGTGGTCCAGGCCTCTAATCCATACAGTAGAGTGGGTAGCATTATGGCTTTGTAGACCAGGATTTTGGTCTTTGCCAGAAGGTCGTGGTTCTCAAAAACTCTTTTCCTTAGCCTTGAAAAAGCCCCACTGGCACAGCTAAGGTGGTGGTGTATTTCATGTTGGCTTTGATGATAGGAGGCTGCCCAGATATTGGAAGTGATCCACAAGCCAAGACAATAGAGATACAGTCACAGTCATGTTTGTCAGAAACTCCTATTTTTACTTGAATGTCAGTGTCTTCTTGTTTGATTTAATCTGATACCAGAGTTTTGTTTCCAAAAATAACTAAAGGAGCAAAGGAAATTGAGGCAGCTTTTGGCTGCTTCAGCCTCCATCTAATGGTTTTCTTGGCTTTAGAGGAGGCCCTCATTTCAAGAGACTCTGGCTGCATTGCAAAGAGAGAAACGGCCATGGCAGATGTCACTCGAGAAGAGGGAGTTTGCTCTGGAGTGAAATCAAGTAAACAGACAATCCTTAATCCAACATAAACACAATGGCAGCCCAGAAATCTTAGGATAAGAATGCACCAAATGCATAGATTGAAATACCAGTCCCCACCCCCCAAAACCCACAACCACATGTTGATGTGTCGTGATGTACTGTATATTAAACAGACGTTTAAACAGCAAATTTTTTTGTGCTTTCAGTAAATTCTAATTCTAATATAAGTATTTGATTTAGCTTGTAACAAAGGCAATAGGAGATTCATATTTTAACTTTGATGGGGATATCAATATACAGCTGGTGCAACTGGCTCCTGATGAAAAGATCCATGTTTGAGGAAGTGTTACACATTGAATGGGAAATCAAATGTCAGAAATTAATTAACTTAAATAATTAACTCTTCATATCTTCCTGCTCTCTATTGCCATACATTGCCTACCATAACAAGTCTGCAAAGTTCTGGGAATATATTTTGTGATTATGCAATTTTTGCAAATGAACTCCCTGAGGTGTCACGTTTTTGTTTTTCACCCTCGCTGTCTTTCCCAATCTCTCTTTTCCCCTTTCCCATCCAGAATTATAATTGGTGTAATAATGGTGCAGATGACAGCCGGTGGCTGGGGCTCTGTGCTCAGTGTATTCAGTCTAACACAGTGCTTCAACCTGTCATAGATTTCCATTATTCATCTTAGGCAGAACTCATAGTGCTGTCTCTGCAGGCCCCCTGTTCAGAGATCACTTTTCTCTTTGTTTATTCGCTGCCACAAGAGCACTTCACACAATTTCTTTTAATTTAAAGAATACAAATTGAGAATTTGTGCATCTTTGCGCAATAGTAAGTATTTTTTCTGACTAATCTTTAAAGATTTTAAGATTTGAAATGATACCAAAAGCAGTCTGAGAAGAAACTGAATCTTCTCAGCTTTGTTTATATCCCATCGGCTATTATAGGATCCAAACAATCCACTGATGACCTTTACAGGGATATCTCCGTACATTTATAATAACATGAGCATGCACAATAGGATTATGCCAGAGAAATGACAAAATAACAAGCATCACCTCATATTTTTTATAGCAGATGCTACTGAATCTTATCACTGCACGTTATTTCAGTTTTCAGTCACCTTCATAACCCTTTATACAAAATACAGAGAAATAAAAATAAAGTACAGCTAATGTAGGATGATATGCCATGGATATCATATTTTTTTATCTAATGTTTTGTTGATTATATTGTTTGTTAACATGTATGTCAGTAATTAAAAACTGTATAAAAGAGACACATTTCTCGAACCATGACACACTGAAGAAGAAGCAACAGAGAGAGAAGAACGCTGCTGGAGCTGATAAGCCTCTCTACCACGATGCTTGACTGGTTAGAAGAGCGACAAGGCAGTGAGGCAAACAGTTTGCTATTTTTTTTTACTTCCTTGTCTAACTAAGTCTTCTGGTGTGTGTGTGTGTGTGTGTGTGTGTGTGTGTGTGTGTGTGTGTGTGTGTGTGTGTGTGTGTGTGTGTGTGTGTGTGTGTGTGTGTGTGTGTGTGTGTGTGTGTGTGTGTGTGTGTGTGTGTGTGTGTGTGTCTGTGTGTGTGCGTGTGTGCGTGTATGTGCGTGCATGTGTGTGTGCCTTCTCTCCTGTTCTTCTAATGTTTTTTTTCTGCAAAACAAAAAGCAGCTTACCATCTCTTGGTTGGCTCTGTTGTCTGCTTGTACATTTTGTCTACTTAGACCTGTCCATCTCCTCCTGAATCCTTTAGGCCCAGAACAAGAGATATAACCACACACACACACACAAAATGAATCTGAATAAAATAATTCAGAAAGACTAACAACAATGAGACAATAGCTAAAGCGGAGTTTTAGTGTGCAAATACCAAAACATAGGTGAAGGTGAAAGCGAAAATATTAAAAGAAATGTGCTTCAACGGAGTTTTACCTGTTTTTTAGCGCCTGTAGCTACAAAGGATGTAAGTTGGAACTGACACTTGCTACTTTGTATACACTTCTCGATTCTCGCCTTGAATACATAGTACACACTGTAGCAAAGAGCTACCATTTATCATCTTTCCAGGCCACTGCTAAATTTTGACATAACGGAGCTGAACACACTCATGTAACACCATGGCGGATGATGTTAACTCTTTTCCTCTCTACACCTCCTCCCCCACCCTGACCTCCATTTCTGCTCTCCCCCTCCCTTCAGTCGCCAATCTCTCTCTCTTCTCCTCCTTCTAAACCTGATTTGGTTGTCACACTGTCACATCCCCCAGGTCTCCTCTTTTTCCTCCCTTCCTTACTCTGTCTGTTTTGTCTCTTTTTGTACTATCAGTAGCACAGAACTATGCTGCCTTCTTCTGACTTAGACATCCGATTTATTTGATACTCTGAGGCTTCCCTTACAAAGCTGGGGCTTCCTGGGCCCAGGTTGAGTGTGGCACCAACCCCTCTCCCACACAAGTATCTTCAATTACACATGGTTGTCTGTATGATTACCGAGCACAGAGAGAGTGTGACACAAAGCTATAGTGACAGAACACGTAGGGATGGGGGAGAAGCGGCAGAGTGGTGGAAAAATTAAGGTAGGGGTGGTTGGATAATGAGGCAGAAAGAGATGGAGGATGGACCAAGAGAGAAACATTTGTCCTTGGGTCCTTAATGGTTTAAAGGAGAAATCGGCTCTGTTTTCTTAAAACAAATTCTCATAATCTACAGGGTTTGACAGTTACCTTTTCCAGTTGATGATATCTGTCTCTAAAATTGTGTTGACTTGCACTCTAATTAGACTAAGGCAATATTCTGATTATTGCAGCCGTCAAATACCACCTTAACCAGATTATCTGATTTGCATTAATGTCTTAATCAAAACATATTGTTTTCTGTCAATTACAGACCACCAGTTTTTAGCACGACAGAACAATGGTATTGCACGTGGACTGTGCAGACAACATTTTTTGTTTTGTTTTACATGTTGTAATGGTAAAAGAAAGCAACAGAAGTTACTACAGTTTACCAATTTGTAATCAAACATAAGCATTCCACTGAGATATTGTTGCGTGCTATTAGAGAACATTATGTCAAAAATGAACTAATTTCTCATCATTTTCAGACAGAGCTATGAACTATGAACTCATACCTAATTATTGTGGAATCTGTTTGGAGAAATTTGAAAACTCAGCACACCTATCATATTTTCAACACTTTATTTGGTATAGGGACACCCACATAAACCTTTATTCATGTTTTGCTTATCTGTTTCATTTTCATTTAATGTTCTTCAACCAATTGATTACACAGAAAAAACACTTGAATTTAGATGATGACATTAATACCAGCATTAATTGGTGACAGTTTATACTGACAGCCTTTTATTTACTCTGGGACTCTCTTTACAGCCGACAGCTGCAGATATCTGTTCCACCTGCAGTCTGTAACAGGAGTGATGATGTCACTGTCAAGTGACAATTATGTACATCAGATCCGTTTGTTGTGCAACCAGCACCTGTTGAAACCTACAATTCTGGTCAAAGTATTGCCTGTAGTTCCACTTTTTTAAGTACCTATTACATTGGTAGACAGGTACACATAATAAAAAGAATAATTGCAGTGAACAAACCGAGGTTTATAGATTTATGGTTAAGGTGTAAATGGTTGTATTCATGGTCATTTATTGCAGATTTTAAGACTATAGAAACACCATAAACTGTCTTTTTTGATATAGAATCTCATTTTGGAAAGTTGCTAAATAGGATAACAAGCAATCCAGTAGATTATTTTCTGAAAGTTTCGCCTACTGCAAAACAATGTTGTATGATCGACAAATCATTGTTAAAGCATGTTTTTGTGTGTGATCTGATCTAATTATTTAATCCGTGTTGATCTTGAAAACAATAACTGCAAAACAAACTGCTAATGATTGATGATGTAGAAGATTATTCATTGTGGAATCTCATGTTTCCAGAAAACTTAACTGTCAAACTAAAGTTTACTGAGATAGTCAAACTCAGAAAAATAGGGAACAATGATAATTGTGGGTTCAGAACCTGAGTCTGTACTGAAACTGGATGTCTCTAATGGGATGAAGTGCTCCAAAACCCAATCGATTGACGTCAGTATCAGGGATCTTCTCATCAGGATTCTTCAGCTCAAACTCAAAGTAGACCAACATGAGGAAAACAAACTGTTTCAGCTCATTGTTGGCAAAGAACCTTCCAGGATACATGGAGACCCCTGCTCCAAAGGGCATATTGTAATACTTGACCTTGGTCCCTGCTTTGTAGAAATCAGTTTTCTTGCTCCCATCTGGATTCAGAAAACAGTCATATTTGATTGAATGTGGGTCAGGGTGGATCTCTGGGTTAGTGTGGAAAGCACTGTAAGGAAAGACTGCCATTCTATCACCCTTTCGAATATGGTACTCACAACCATCAGCCATCTCGAAAGTCATATCCTGGAGCACTGCTGTGACAAAGGAGCAGTGCAGCAATGGGTCAAAGGGTCTCTTCTACAGCTCTGTCCAAGATTGGCGTTTTCGTCAGCATGTCACAAGTCAGGTGGATCAAAGGGCCACCATGTAGGACTTCCTGGCCAGATTCCTTCAGAACCTTGTTTACCTCCTCTTTCACGGCTGCCAGTTAGGTCTTTCTCTTTGGCTTTCTCTGTACTTCCTTCAGACTTGTGTGATGCATTGCCAAAAAGGGATAAGTAGCCAGCCCTGAAAATAATATTCTAGCTGTACATGAATATCTGTCTTCCACCCAGTTCGTTTGATCTGCAGATGAGACAATGTTCTGCAACATCACATTCTGCAAATTACACATCATGGCACGTGTCAACACCTCCAGTCCAGCTCCCCTCAGATGTTTGTGGCTGGTCGTCATGAGAATCTGTTTCTCATTTCCTATAGATCTATAACCAAAGAGTTGTTGCACCAGGTTCCTGGCAAACAGGTTGAAGTCCAGTTTTTCTGGAGTCTCCTTAACAAATGCCCCCAAGGATAGAGGGTCTTGAGGGAATGTGATGTAAAAGCCTCCCAGCTGTACCATTAATACATCACCATGCTTTTTCTTCATCCTCTCTAGAAACTTAATTGTATCCTTGGGAAACTCCAAGACATGTCCCAACCAGGGGATGAGCCCCTTATCCAAAGGGGGTTCTCCTAGTCACTGCTGTCGAAACACCCCCAGAAGGTACAGGCCTCCAATCAGAGAGGCAAGGAAAGCAAGAAGTATAGGTAGCAGCATCATGGCTGATCCAAATCCTGCATTCTAAATAGGCTTTTGCTCCTCCCTTTGCTCATACGATCAGTTTTACCACTGCAAGAATCGCACACTTGTCTTTTATAGTTAGATAATAATTAAACAAATAACCACTACACAAACAATTATACACACATGTTACTGCATGTGACTAACCAACTCTTCTTTAAATTTCATATTTTTTCTGCTATCAGTGCTTAGAGACAAGATGTTTTATTACAAGTGTTTGCAACAGGAGATACACTTTTATGTCAAATGTCAGATGGCCTTGCTCTTATTATGAATCTAACTACCCATTTGCTTGCACAAAATGTTCTTTTTCAAGAAGGACATTTTTTTCACATTTACAAATTTACACTTTGTGAATCTTTCTAGTACAATCTGGAGCTGTTGGGGGCCTTCAGTTTTTCTCGAGGGCATGTTGACCGAGGTCAGTAAGGGACAAGCTCTACTCATTCACTTTCCCATCTAGATTATTTTTTTTATTTAAAAATTGTGACAGCAAACGTTGCTATAAGATATGATTTATATGATACGGTTCAAACATTAACATGGGTAGTCTTGATGTCCAGAGAAGTCAACCAAGAAAGAGCTAATAAACAGTTAATAGTTAACAGTTTATGCTACTCCAGCCATTTCAAAAACAGAATAGCAGGAAGAGTAAGAATCAACAAACCTACAGGTCCACAGCAGCTCTGTGAGCTACAGCACTGTATCTGAAATTCTATTTTGTAGTTCAAAAAAATACTTTCACAGTGTAATTTGTTTCAACTTTACAAATCTCTTGTCTTTTTCCTTTGTGTCTATTTTGTAGGTATTAATAGGTATTTTATTGGTACCTATGCAAAACAAAATTACTTTGAAATAAGTGGGATTTACCAGCAATACCACAATAATAGATCTTTCTCCATTATCTAAAGCTATGAAAATGATTTTGAAAAGTAACCAAAGCCACAAAAGCGAAATGCAATGTTATTTTTAACATAGTGCAGTTACTCATACATATATTTTCCATGTTTCTCTCCAGCACTGTGAGAAAACATAAGTGAGTGTCATAAAAAGCTTTACATTCTGATCTTGTCTGAATCCTTATTTCATCCAAACTATACCCAAGATATGGTACCGTATATCAGAGAGAGAGACCAAAGGTGATGGATTATGCCATTACCCACAAACAGGTTTCTGCACCAAAATTTGTCATATTCCTGACCTTGGCTCTTGAAATGAATACCCTCACCTTGCAATGTCACCTAAACTCTTATCTATTCTGCTCTATTTTCCTAGTGTTGTTTCAAATGTCCTGTTACAAACAGAAAATACCTCAGAGTAATGACATCCCTGTATTGTAAAATGTTAATTTCATTTAAATGAATAAGTATGTAGTACCAGATATAGTACAGAGCAATGAAGCCCAGTGGGATCAAAATAATGGACTGAATTGTAGATACTGGCTTGTAGAAAATCACTTTTCCAAACTCTTCAAGACTTCTTCTGAGACAGCCTGTTTACTCACATTATATCTATACTGGATGTTATATTCATGCACTCTAATTTGCATTTTGTTTAAAAAATTAACAAAAAATAAATAAATACATAAGCAGCTGTAATATGTTTTTAAATGTACGCCATAGAAGTATGATAATGTTTTATATGCATAACACACACCAGAAAGCATAGATTAAGAGATTGTCGTTAGATTTACCCTTTTATAGCCTAATTTTAGCCAGGGCAGCTATAACTACTTAGAATTCCTTTTAAAGGACTAATCAGGGTTAAACTGCTGCAGGGATGTGATCATGTTCAGGCAGAAAGAAAGCAGATAAGGATGCACAAGGACAGTTGTTTTGAAAGGCACTATTTGAAGTTATTGATTTTTTTTTTTTTCTGTCACAGGTGTTGGCGCTCATTTGAATGACCTTGCCTTGCTGCAACATCATCAGCTTGCAGATTCCCATGTATTTTAATTACCGGTCAAAACCTGTCAGCCTGTCCTCGTGTGTGCTGGTGTCTTTTCTTCTTTCAAAATAGTGTAAATGTTTTGAATGAAGGACTCTAGAATTATTTTCTACCATCTAAAGGTGCAGTGTGTAACATTTAGGAGGATATCTTGGCAGAAATTGAATATATGCATAACTCTGTTTTCACCTGAAAATAAGAATCGTAGATAGAATGAGCCTTTTATATCTAGACGAAGCGGGTCACCTTCTGTGGAGGCCACCGAGTAAAACCGCCATGTTTATACTGTAGCCCAGAACAGAAAAAACAGTGGCTGAAGATAGGGCCATTCACAGTTTTCACATGTTTCGTGGCAAACAAAGTTTCAAAGGAATGAGATTGTGAAGCGAGGGAGTTGCAATCTGCAACTACACCACTAGATGCCACTAAATCCTACACACTGGTCCTTTAAAAGCCAGCAAATACTGGAAAAAAACAAGATTTTGATCTGTCCTTTCGTCTTTTTTTTCTTTCTGCCTTACTTTCACCATCCTTTCTTCATGACTTTATCTAATTCCTTGACCTTTCTTCACCTCCATTTCTTATTCTTCACCCACCCTCTGTGGATCTCTTTCTCAGCTTGCTATTATTATGGCATAGTGAGGAGAAAAGGTGGTTTCTTTGTAATAAATTACAGCATAGGGCATTTCATGGAAGCATTAGTCAAAAATGACTTGCAGTACCAGGTTAAAATCCATATTTCTGGAATGGTTGTCTCCAGTGGAAAATAGGCTGTAAACCTTTTGGTACCACATTCTCTCCATTCAGCTACATTTGTCATGGACAGCGCACTAGTTGTGCAGTCTGACAAGGCCAGACATATCAATGTGTGTACGTTTATATACATTGAGTAAATATGAGTGGGAACAGTAAAAGTCAAATTTGATAGGTGTACATCAATGCAACACCCGGTGAAAGTGGCACTCAAAACAAGAATGCAGCAAATTCATCCACAATTTTAGATTTAAAGGATAGGCTTAAAATGTTTCAAGTCGGTCTTAAATTAATAATCAGATGCCCCCAAATACAGTGCAACAGTAATAAACTTGAATGCATTTTTACATAGAATGAATACTGTGGATTGGATTTTGTCCCCCATCACTTATATTGGAGGCACATTAGGAAGGGGTCTTTTATTGGCCGGTATAAGCAGGAGGAATGATTACAGCAAGCAAAACCTTTTCATATGAGACTTGAAAAATTGTGAAGCTTTTCTTTAAATAGTTGTCTCCAAACATGTTATTTTATTTCATTTCATTTCATCCATTAATTTCCTTTTATCTCTTGATACTTTGCAGCATTTTGAAGTAGTCATTGTGAGCAGCAGTCCATTAATAATTCTGTGTGTTTTAAACGTTATGAATTTAAACTAAAATTATTAGGTTCATAAACTATTAGTTATCAGTTTTAATATGAATCTTCCAAGCCTGACCCATACAGAAGTGCAGCATTCACTGCACATCCTCATCTGCTGTTGTCATCTCAAAAATATTTGATGTGTCTCGCCAAGGCACAATAAACAAGGCTGTATAGAGTGCCAGTCAGTCTAGACAACAGTTGTGGGATTAAAGAAGAGGATACTTTAAGGTCAAAGCACTCTGGCACCAAACCAGAACTTGTTTTAAGGCGGGTACTTTGAACTAAGTACAACTTAGTCAGCTACTTATCTTTATTTTATCATAAACCCCAGTTGCAAATCAGCAACATGATAAGAAGCAAGAAACTTTTTAAGGCACTGTGAAGAATTTGCAAAACAGGAAACAGTTAAAAAATAAAATCTCCCCACAAGGTCCATTTAGTTGAGTTACTGTTATCATCACTGGGAGGCAGAGGAATTCAGCTCAGTAATGTATAACATATCAGTGCTTTAGATACGCTAACATCCTAGTGTTCTCACCTTCTTGTCTGTCATGTGTAAGATCTGAGGAGCTTTAAAAAACTTTGGCTGTCATTTGTTTTTTCTGCATTTGATTTCACATGGAGTCTCTGTGTCTCTACCTGTCTGTGCCTCTCTCCTCGTCTTATTTCTCATCCTTGCCTGCTCATTCTTTTTTTCACATTGTTCCACCAGATGTCAACTTTGAAATGTCAACTCCCCCCTTCACATTGTCAATGAAACTCTGAGAAGAAGAGGAAGTAGAGCACATTCGTGGCTTCATTTTCCTTCCCCCTCTCGCCTCTCTTTTACATGAATATTTGTTTGTCTTTGTCTCAATCTGTTTCTGTCTTGCTATTTTTATCACAGTATTTCTTCCTGTCTACTCTTTTGGTCTCCCCTGTCACTTTTCTGTCCTTTACTTTGTGTCTCTCTATCCTTGTGCAGCTCTCAGCTGTACTAATGAAAGAATGACGGATGTAGGTGTTGGCTGGGAGATGGAGCC